CACCCAGGGACACCAAAATCTGTTTCCGAAGGTTTGGCACTTATCCTTGAGGCCACATCAGAATGAGAACAAGTGGTTTGAGGAAAAGGAAAGAGAAGTTGGTTTATTTGCCAGCAAATGATGAGGTTGGGGTCTTAAAGTACCAGTGTCATCCAAAGTTCTTATTTTGAAGTAATTTCAAATTTAAAGAATTATAAAAGTAATACATTTCACTAAGATTCAATAGCTATTAACATTTTATCCCATTTGTTTTATCATTCTCCCCATTTACTTTCCCTCTCTCTGTAGATACATTTTAATGTACCTATTTATACACATTTAATATTTTTCTCTCTGAACCATTTGAGAGTTAGGTGCAGACATGGTGCCCTGAGGACAGTCTCTGAAAGAACCACAGTACAGTTATCAAATTCAAAAAAATTTAACATTGATGTAATACTGTTACCTAGTATATATGCCATATTTCAATTTTGCTGGTAATTACTTTGTGGCAGTTTTTTGTTTTTTAAAAATCTAATCTAGGATCTTATTTAGGATTAAGCATTACATGTGACAGTCTTGTCTATTTAGTTGCCTTTTAGCTGGAAAAATTCTTCAGCCTATCTCTATCTTCGTGACATTGATGTTTTTAAAGAATACAAAGCAGTGGTTTGTAGAATGCCCCTGTTTAGTTGCTTCATGCTTCCTTGTTAGATTCACGGCGTGCATTTATTACAGGAATACAACATAAGCGATTTCGTGTCCTTCCCAGTAGATCACACCCAGAAGCGAGTGATGCCAGTTCATCCCCTTATTGCTGATGCTTAAAGTGATGTCTGCCAGGTTTCTCTGCTTGAATGTTAATGTATTTTTTTATTTGAAATTAATACAGGATTTGTATAGAGAGGAGGAGATACTTTGAGACTAGGAGATAATCCTGTTCCTCTTTAAACTTTCAGCCAATGGTTTTAGTATCATTTCAAGGAATCTTACCTGAATAACAGTTACTGTTGTATGGTTGAAGAATGGTGACCTTTTCCCCAATTGTATTATTCCTTATTCAGTTATTAGGAAGTACTCTACTATAAGGAAAAGCTTTCCTTCCTCCTTCCTTTCTTTCCTTCCTCTTCCTTTCTTTCCTTCCTCCTTTCTTATCCATATGGACTCGTGCATTATTATTTTTATTCACTAGATTATAATCCATTACTATCCTTATTCACGTTGATGCTCAGATTGTCCCTGATTTGGCTGTGGGAGCCACTTCAGGTTGTCTCCCATGTCTTTTGAAAACGTCTGTTATTTTTTGAGCACTTCCTTATTTTCTGATATTAGAAAATATTCCAGACTCAGTTAAACTTTCCCTGCTCCAGTGCTAGAATCAGCTGATTCTTCAAGAAGCCCTTGTTCCTTTTAGGGCTAGTAGTATTTAGAAATCAAGCTCTGGGCTAGGTAAGCTCATTGCTATTGGCATTGCTTTTACACTCTTTAAGTATATAGAGCTGGGGAAGTGGCAGCTTCGTATGGTTCAATTCAATATGTAAATTATATTTTTTAACAACATACCAGCGTGAAGGCTGTTGTTGCTTTGCTGAATAAGAACATTAAACTGTGGACTAGTTTATAGATCAATACTAACGTTATTGATCTCAAATAATTGTTGCTAAGGTATACTGGAAAGCAGGGTAGATTCTGTATCACTGGTATGAGAATGTGCAACTTCACTCTGTTTGATAGTTGGCATTTAAAGGAATAATGAGTATAACCGTATTTTCAGAAGGCTACAACAAATGAGATGTGATGTGAAAATATCTGTGCTTTCCATTGCTGACAGAATTGCAGATACAGCTTATATGACTGTGATTTATTGTCTATGTTCATAATTGAATACTGTGCAAAATTTCAGAGATTAGGAAAACAAAGATGTAATTTTTTTCCATTCAAGTTTACCTCCTGCCTACCATGAACTATATCTATTTGAGATCCTTAGGGACCCTGGTTTAAAAATTCCTGCTTTAGAATGAACATTTTTTTTTTTTTTTTTTGAGACAGAGTCTCACTGTGTTGCCCGGGCTAGAGTGCTGTGGCGTCATCCTAGCTCACAGCAACTTCAAACTCCTGGGCTCAAGCAATCCTTCTGCCTCAGCCTCCCGAGTAGCTGGGACTACAGGCATGCGCCACCATGCCTGGCTAATTTTTTCTATATATTTTTAGTTGTCCAGCTAATTTCTTTCTATTTTTAGTAGAGACGGGGTCTAGCTCTTGCTCAGGCTGGTTTCGAACTCCTGAGCTCAAACAATCCGCCCTCCTTGGCCTCCCAGAGTGCTAGGATTACAGGCGTGAGCCACTGCACTGGCCTAAACATTATTTTTTAAGCCTAGTTAATTTGCACAAATTGTAGAGCTTGAAGGTTGTAACTTTTTATGATGAAACACCAGAGATTAGCTCTTATGTATGATTGTGGCCTTTTAATTTTCATATCTTTTTATTATTGTTTTGAACATTTCACATTCTCCAGCTTTTCCTATGCATTTCTTTAATCCTTAAGAAGTTATTTTTTTGTTGCGCTTTATGGAATTTGATGTGTAGCATTTCTTAAACCTTTATGGATTTATTTAATCTTGTTATATTTTGACCCAGTGATAAAACAGCAGTAAATATGTATATTATTTTTATGTTAGGGTTAGAATATAATCCATACAACCACACCATGAATTTATACCTTTGTATCATTCCTTTTGGCTTGTACTTCTTACTGCCACATGATGTTAATACCAGTTGGTAAGTAACAAGCTTTGACAAGAATGGAATTGGAACTGCATTCTTATAATCACACTGCTGAAATGATTAAGAGAAACTATCATTTTTCTTTCCCTTCTCCCCTTTTTTTCTTTGAGACATTTAGGGTAGAAAGAGGGTAGATTATTCAAGGGTACATGGTGGGAAGAGGGTTTGGGGAAGCCAGGCTGTGGGGATAAATCTTTAAGAACAATGTCCCATTCCCCAAAGTCCACCAATCTACTACTTACCATTGTCTCTGCCAGAGAAGGGAATGACTTTTAATGTTAGTCCCTTCTCAATCCTCAACTTAAATAATGTGAATCTTTGAGATCCAAGTATGTTTAAACTTGGAAAAACAGAACATTAGAGAAGAAGGCATGAATAACATTTGTAAAGTGACCAAAAATTATTTTTAGTATTTAGTTGGTTTACTGAACCATGGACCTTATAATTAACTCAATACAGAACCTTATGGATTATATTTCCTATAGAGAACACTGGGCTTTATATACACATTTTTGAAAGACATTACCTTGTAGTTGTCTTTTTTTGCCACCAGGTGGTCTGTATGCGCACAGATATGACCCCTAGCTTGAAGGTGAAGTGTGTCGAAAGCCCCTGCAGTAATATGCCTTCTTTCCATCCCTTCCATCTCCCCTGTCCTGACGTACATGCACACACAGACACACTCTTTTACACAAAGGGTAGCTCATGACACACACACTGTTCTGCACCTTCTTTTTCTTACTTGAGGATTTATCTTGGGGATCGGTATATATTAATCTATGAGGAGACTCTAGCATTTTTAAACCTGCCTAGCATTCCATTGTACAACTGTACTGTAATTTATTTAACTGAACACCTATTGATGAATATTAGGTGGTTTTCAGTCTTTTGTTATTACAGACAATGCTGCAGTGAACAAGCTTGTACGTCTGTTATTTTACCTGTGTGTATCTCTGTAGGATAAATTATTAAAGGGCATAGGCACCTGTAATTTTGATAGTGGTTGCCAAGTTGCCCTCTGTAGAACTTGTGCCTTTGATACATTGATATTACCAGCAGCAGGGTGATAGGAATGCCCGTTTCTCCAGAACCTCACTTGTCTGATAGGTGAAAACTGTAGTTTCTCAGTGTAGTTTCGACATGCGTGCCTTTCATTATGAGCAAAGTGAAGTGTCATTTCATATGTTTTAGAGGCATTATGTTTCATATCCTATGAACTTCCTGTTTATGGCTGTTATTTATATTTCTATAGCATTGTTGATATTTTTCTCACTGATTTGTAGGAGATTATTGCATATTAGTGACATTAACCCTTGATCTGTGGTAAGAGTTGACTTTTTTCCTTTTTTATTTTTTTAAATTAAATTTTTAAAATTTTATTATTATTATTTTTCGATACAGGGTCTTGCTCTGTCACCCAGGATGGAGTACAGTGGCATGATCATAACTCAGTGCAACCTTGAACTCCTGGGTAGCTGGGCATGTGCACATTACAGGCATGTGCCACATGCTCAGCTAGTTTTTTAATTTTTTTGTAGAGATGGGGGTCTCACTGTGTTGCCCAGGCTGATCTTGAACTCCTGGCCTCAAGTGATCCTCCACATGGACCTCCTAAAGCACTGGGATTACAGGTGTGAGCCACTGTGCTCAGCTGGCCTATTTTATTCCTTATATTATAATATGTTTTAATATCTATTAGGAGTAGTCCCCACTATTCTGTTTCATATTTTTTGTAACTATTCCTATTTATTTTTCCTTATGAACTTGAGTTTCAACTTGGGAAGAATTAAAAGCTCTGTGATTATTGTTATCATAGTCTTTATTTTTAGTTTGTCCAATAATGCTTTTTCTATTTTTTATTATTTTGATTATTAGACTTTAAGTAGACAATCTGGAAAATAATATACTGTATTAACTACCAGGGGCTGAAAGAAATGACACTAGAATATTTTGATCAACTCTGGGCTCGTCACTTGATAAAAAATTGTGTGTTGTCACACTTTCAGATAAAAGGACACAGGAGAGAATTGAGAAAGACTCAAAGATTGCTCTCTTCTAGGAATAATTCTGAATGTTTTATATTCTAATAAGCAACAGTTTGCATAAAGTTCCCTTTAAGTTTCTAAAGTATTTTGAGTTCCTATATATTAGTATTTTCTAACACTATATATAGTACAGAGATTTTTTGTCAAAAAATATTAGTTTTTTAGTAAAATTTTTAATTATTTTAATTTCAGGGTGGCTTATGGTGTTTCGGAGGAAATGGACTTCCTTATGCTGAAAGTTTTGGAGAAGTTCCTTCAGCTACAGTGGAAATGTTCTGTTTAGAAGCTATAGTAAAACATTCTGAGGTAACTTACATTTTCAAAATGTGATTTACTTTTCATGATTATATTGAAAAAATTATACAGGTTGGTTCATGCAAGGGAATCATCATTTATTATAAAAGGAAAAGAAGTTTTCACTTGTTTTAAAATTTCTGCGTTTTTTCCATTTTGTTAGAATTAATAATCATGATTTAACACCAATGTATGAGTTTCATTTTTGCCAAGTATTTCTAAAATTGGATTTAATCTTAATTGCGTATAAAGAAAACAGCCTATCATGTAAATATGGCATTCACCTTTTAGTTATGCTGTCTTCTACTACCTTTCTCAGATTATTCTTATGTATAATATTTTCAGGTAAACAATTTCCGTTAAAACAACTGCCAAAGATGTGGCAAGATTAAAAAAACGCAAGGAAATATTAGATGACCACATGCTTGAATTATAACTATAGCACACATCAATGATTTTTAAAATTTTTGGTGTTGTGGAAACTTTTCTATCTTGATAACAGTTTAACTTGAAAAAAGCAACAAACCTTGTACTCAAAGAGTGCAGAAAGATCACCCAGAGAGCATGTTTAAAAATGTGTTTCCTGCTTGCCTTTAGCAACTTTAATTTAGTAGATTTGCTGTGGAGTCCAAGGATTTGCATTTGTAGCCAGCATCCCTGGTAAGGTTAATGCAAGTGGTCCATCCCACAGCAGGAGAAACACCATCCTAGAGATCCTGAACTCTCCTGAAAAGCATGGTACCCTCTAGTCATCTTTAGTTCCCACCTGTGGAATGAGGCACCAAGCATGAAGCAGAGTGGATAAGGTGTTGTAGTACAAAAGGGAAAACTATCTTCTGAGTATTTTCTGAAGCAATATATGTAGCTTCAGTACAAAGTGCAGTACATGGAGTATAATAGTTACCTCTTCAGAAATCTCCAGTTATTACAGATATTTCTTGATACACAGTATGTCTAAAAGGCATATATTCTAATGCACTTAAACTGTGATAAAACTTAATAAAAATTTAGAAAATGAAAATTGTCACGTATGCATGACTTGTGTCAGTGAACGAAACTAGTGATAGGAAGAGGCAAGGCCGTGCCTGGTGACGTTAAGGAGATTGGTTGGTCAGTTCTCTCACTTTATCTTAATATACATATTTCCTTTGGTTTTCTTTTTCTTTTGTTTCTTTTCTCCATTAAAAATGCAAATCCCTTTTTCTTTATTTTTGCTTAATCTTTCTGTTTAAAGATTTTTTTTCCAGCTTTTGAGTTTAGGCCAGCCCTGTAGCTGTGGGCATTGTGTTGGGTAGCACGTGGGGCCGTGGCGGCTGCTTGTCTCTACCTGGGCAAGTCCTTGTTTGCTGAAGCAGAATCTGCCTGCTTGCACAGAGGACTGTTTTCTGTTATCAGGAGGCAGATTCCTCAAGGTTAGAGAACCGTTGTATGGTAGTTTCAAGCCAAAGTATCACTATAAATTGAAACAGTCTTGTGATAATGACATTGTGAGGTTACATCCAACCAAGAGCTAAGCACAGTAGGAGTAACGGTGTTAGAAGTCCTGGTGAGAAATGCCTTCTTGGGATTTTTTGCAATAATTTTAAAGCATATCCCTCTTAGATAGGAATTGGCTTGTTTATTTAAGTAAGCTGAGATGAGAGTTTTGAGTAGTCTCCCTGCATCTCTGTCCTTGAGCAGGAGCTACCTGGCTGTCCCCATCAGCATGCTGTGTCATCTCTTGTAGTGAATTTGTGCAATATAAAGTGAGCTTTCATTCATTTATTGTGCTAGATATCCATGCATTGTGATAAAATCGAAGCAAATGGAGGCTTGCAACTACTTCAGAGGCTGTACCAGCTTCACAAGGACTGCCCTAAAGTACAGAGAAATATAATGCGTATCATTGGAAATATGGCTGTGAATGAACATCTTCATTCTCCTATAGTTCGCTCAGGTAACACCTTTATATACTTAGCATTTTTATTCAGTCCTTTGTTCTCCCACCTCTAGCCCCATGATACATAAATTTTTCAAAGGACTTAAGACTCTACTTAGGGTTAGTTGTGAGTCCTTAGAACATATTATTTTGGTAGGGGCAAGGAATTGCTTGAGATTGTAGATAATCTGTACTTAAGGTAGTCACTGTATAGATGATCACAGGAGAGTAGGTTTTGCCATGGTGACCATCTAATTGTGTAATTTTTAATATGATTCGGTTAACGAAGAAGCATAGACTACAGAAAGGCTTACTGTATAATTAATGATTTTCTCCCTTGTAAATAATAAACTGGCTGTGGGGAAATACTTAAGACCAGGCAAATATCCTGCTCCTCATCCTCTGAAAATTCCTGTCTGGTCCAGTCTTTACCTTGATGGATGCAAAATGATGATTTTCCAACTCTAGCATACCTTCTTCATTTACTTACCAGCATTTTACATTCTATCGGAAGCAAGAGCCCTTCTTTCTCTCTCTTCTCCCTCCCTCCCTCCCTCTCTCCCCCCGTCTCTCCCCCCCTATCAGTATGGGTACGTGAATTTCTGTTTTTAATGGTTTATAATGTATTGCTGTACTTAATACTTTGATGCCAGATTATCCAGCTTTGTTTGGTTGGAACCCCAACAAAATGGCCAGTGTCCTTGTGATATGCTCGTATCCTTTCTGGTGTGACAAGATAACAGGCTCCTTTCTCTGAGTGACCCTGTTCCCTTTTAGTGGAGAATGATATTAAAGACCAAGATCTAGGTGATAGGAGTGCTTATTGTTCCTGGGGTATCTTTGCTTCTTGGCTCTTTCAGTAGATAGAGCTAGGTAATACATATATATACATATATACATACATGTACATACAAATAAGTACACATAAGTGCACATATACATGTGTGTGTTCATATGTATACATATATTAGGGACTATGAATTTATACTTCTGGTAAGTTTTAATTTTGATGAAGTCTAACGTAGGACTTTAAGGAATCAGCAAGCTTTTTCTATAAAGGACCAAGTAGTAAATATGTTAGGCTTTGAGAACTATTAATAAATATGGCCTCTGTTACATATTCTTCGGAGTTTTTTTTTTTTTAACAACTCTTTAAAAATAAAAAGACTGCTCTTTATTATTTCCTGCCTTCTATTTACTATGCATTTTATTTGTTCTTTTTATAGCTTCTTAAGGTGGAAACTTAGATCACTGATTTTTAACCTACCTTCTTATTTCAGTTGTCTGTTACCGTGTATCAAACCATCCCAAAACTGGTTAAAACGATGGTCATTTATTTTGTTCATGAATCTGGAATTTGGGCCAGGTTCTGTAGGGAACTTACCTCTGCTTCACGCAATGGCAGCTGGGCAGCTGAGCTGTGGGATGAGGATACACTTAAAGGCTGGTATTGGCTATTGGCTGGGAAGGCACCAGGCTGGGAGCTGATATTTGCTCCTTTTCACGTGGGCTGGGCTTCCTTGAAGCATGGTGGATTCCAGGAATAAATGTCTCTCAAGGGAGGAAGCCAGGTCTAAGTTCTTTTGCCCCTTATAACCTATCCTTGCAAGTCATTTCCTCTGTAATCTGTTGATTAGAAGCTAGTCACTAAGGCTAGCAAGGGAAGGGCTTTAGAGAGGGTGACTCATCACCTCTTGATGAGAAAGTGTCAAAGGATTTGAAGACATGTTTTTGAATCAGTATAATTATTTTCTCATATTGGTATTTAAAACTATAAATTTTCTTCAGACTCTGCTTTAAATGCATCCCTTAAATTTTGGATATATTGTATTTTCATTATTTTTCAGCTTGAAATATTTTCTAATGTCCCTTGTGATTCCTTTTTTATCTCATGTGTGTGCTGCATAATTGCAAACATTAAGGGTTTTCTTTCTATTGTATATCTCTGATTTCTAATTTAATTCCATTTGTTCAGAGAACACACGCTAAGATTTCAGTCTTTGGAAATTTGATGGCCCATTGTACAGTCTATCTTGGTGAATGTTCTGTGTGCAATTGAAAGGAATGAGCATTCTGCAGTAGTTGGGGGAAGTGTTCTTTACATAACAATTAAATCAAGCTGATTGATAGTGTTGCTTAAATCTTTTCTAGACCTTTACTAATTTTTGTCTAGTTCTGTCGATTACTGAGAGATGTGCTAAATTCTTCAGCTGTGATTGTGGATTTTCCTGTTTCTCCCTTTAGTTCTGTCAGATTTTTCTTTCTGGTAAATTGTTCATTTTTTTCAATGGTTGCATATTTTTATTTAGTTATTTATTTAAATTCACATATAAAAATTGTATATATCACATACAGCATGTTGTTTTGAAATTTGTATACATCGTGGAATGGTTAATGAACTAATTAACATATGCATAACCTCACATACCATTTTTTTGTGGTGAGAACATTTAAAATCAAGAATATAATACATTGTTATTAATTATAGTCACCAATGGATCTCTTCAACTTATTCCTCCTAACTGGAATTTTGTGTCTTTTGACCAACATCTCCGCCACCCTCCCTCTTGTTCATTTTTTATTATGTAATGTCTCTTTATTATTATGTAATGTCTCTCACTGGTAATACTACTTTCCTTTAATTCTACTTTGGTATTAAATTAGCCACACTAACTTTTTCTTATGCTTACTGTTTGCATATACATATTTTATCTTTTTCCCTTTTTTTATTTTCATCTTTCTGTGACTGTAAAAATATGTGTGTCTTTTATAAGCAGCATATAGTTGGATTTTTTAAAAAAAATTCAGTTTGGTAGTCTTTCCCTTTTAATTGTAGTGTTCTGTCTCTTTACTCCTAATGTAATTATTGATATTGTTTGGTTATGTTGATCATCTTGTTCATTGTTTTCCATTTGTCCCTTCAGGTTTTTTTTTTTATCTTTTTCTCTTTTTTGCTGACTTTTCTTGGGTAAATTACTTGAACATTTTTTATATTGTTATTTCTCCTCTTTTGGTTTCTGTACAGTTTTTGTGTATTTGTGTTTTTAATTAATTAATTTTTAGAGCCAAGATTCTGCTCTGTTGCCCAGGCTGGAGTGCAGTGGCACGATCATAGCTCACTGCAATCTCTAACTTCAGAGCTCCAGTAACCCTCCCTAGTAGCTAGGACTATAGGTACGGGCCACTATGCCTTGCTATCTTTTTATAAAAAAGTTTTTTGTAGAGATGGGGTCTTGCTGTTTGTCCAGGCTGGTCTCAAACTCCTGGGCGTAAGCAGTCCTCCCTGTCTCAGCCTCCCAAAGTGCTGGGATTGTAGACATGAGCCACTGTGCCTGACCTGTTTATATATATTTTTTAATGGTTGTATCCTTACCTTATCACAGTCTACTTTGAATTAATATCGTTACCACTTCATATGATGTGAGAGTCTTTTTTTGTTTTAAGCTATTGTGTTTTGGTGTGATGTGAGAGTCTTACAACACTATAATTCGTTTCACATCCCCTGCCATTCTTTGTGGTATTGTTATAATGTATTTTATTCGTACATATGTTATAAACTTCGCAATATGTGGTTGTTATTTATTTATTTATTTAGAAACAAAGTCTTGCTCTGTTGCCCAGGCTGGACTGGAACTCCTGGGCTCAACTAATTCTCCTGCCTCAGCCTCCCTAGTAGCTGGTACTATAGGCATGTACCACCACACCTGGCAACATTGTTGTTGTTTTTGTTTTAACATTTGTCTTAGTCCTTTTTGTGCTGCTATAACCTGAGGCCATATACATGGGGCTGGGTAATGTATAAAGAATAGAAATGTATTCTCTCAGCAGTTCTGGAGGCTGGGAAGTCCAAGATCAAGGTGCCAGACTTTGGTGTCTAGCATTTCACATGGCAGCGGTTAAAGGGCAGGCTAGCCTTCACATATTCATGCTGCATGAAGCCTCTTTTTTCAGTTTTTTTTTTTTAAATTTTAAGTTTTTGTGAATTACATATAGTTGTACATATGATATTTTGATGCAAGCATATATTATCTAATGATCAAATCAGGGTAATTGTGATATCCATCACCTCAAATATGAAGCCTGTTTTGTTTTTATTTTTGAAACAGGGTCTTGCTGTCACTCAGGCTAGAGGGCAGTGGCATCATCATAGCTCACAGCAACCTCAAACTCCTGGGCTCAAGCGACCCTCCCACCTCAGCCTCACTGGTAGCTGGGACTGTAGGCGCTCACCACCACCCAACTAATTTTGCTATTTTTGTAGACATGGGGTCTCGCCATGTTGCTCAAGCTGGCCTCAAGTGATCCTCCCACCTTTTCCTCTCAAAGTGCTAGGATTACAGGTGTGAGCCACTGCAACCGGCCTCGTATTTATTTATTTATAATCTCCAATGTTCTTCCTTTTTTTCTGTGTATATGAATTTATATCTGATATCATTTCTCTTCAGCCTAAAGACATTCCTCTAGTATTTTTTGTACATTGGGTCTGCTGACAACAAATCCCAAAACAGCAAATGCTGGCAGGGATATGGAGAGACAGTAACACTCTTACACTGCTGGTGGGACTGCAAATTAGTGTAACCTCTGTGGAAAAGAATTTGGAGATACCTCAAAGAGCTAAAAATAGAAATACCATTAGATCCAGCAATAGCACTATTAGGCATCTACCCAAAAGAGCAAAAGACATTTCTTTAATAAAGACATCTGCACCTAAATGTTTATGGCAGCACAATTCACTATTGCAAGGATGTGGAAACAACCCAAGTGCCCATCAATTCATGAGTGGATTATTAAAATTTGGTATATGTATACAATGGAACATTACTCAATTATAAGAAATGGCGGTGATCTAGCACCTCTCATATTTTCCTGGGTAGAGCTTGAGCCCATCCTCTGAAGTGAGGTATCACAAGAACGGAAGAATAGGCTCCACGTGTACTCGCCATCAAATTGGCATTAACTAATCAATGCTATGTTGCTCACACGGTAGTAATATTCTCCAGGGATTAGCGAGTTGGGGGGGGTAATCTCACAACTAGTGGACGTGGTGAACATTGTAGAGGGGAAGGGCATGCATCTTCTCCTCACTTGGGTGAGGCAAAGTCATATAAAATGTAACCAAAATGTTTGTACCCTCATAATATCCTGAAATAAAAATAAATAAATAAATAAAAATAACCAAATCTCTACCAGGTGTGGTAAATATAACTTTTTCTATATTGGGCTTGGCCTTGACAAAACCTGATAATAGTCCAGTTTTTATCAATGCAATAAATAGTCTAATCAGTAAAAATAAAAAACAAAAACACAAATTCTCTCACCTTTCATTTTTGAAAATGTCTTTACTTTGCCTTTATTTTATATTTGGGAAAAGATACTTTTCCTGGATAAAGAATTCTTTGTTCACAGTGTATTATTTTTTTATGTCAGCACTTTAAAAATATCATCTCAGTCTCTCCTGGCATCCAATGTCTGATGAGAGGTTTCTTTGTAGTCCCACTTTTGTTCTCCTGTATGTAATGTGTCTTTTTTCTCTGGCTTCTTTTAAGATCTTTATGTTTGATTTTCAGCAGTATGACTCTGAAGTGTCTCGGTGTTGTTTTTATATTTATCCTGCTCAGGGTCCACTGAGCTGACTGAATCTGTGCTGAATGTTTTTGATCAATTTGGAAACTTTCCTGCCTGTATATCTTTAAATATTTATTCTTTTTGTCCTTTTTTCTCTCTTTTCTTCTTCTTGGACTATGTATATTAGACCTCTTGATTCTGTCCCACAGGTCATTAAGATTCTGTTCATTTTGTTTCAGTTTTTTTCCCTCTGTACTTTACTTTGGATGATTTCTATTGACTTATCTTCAGGTTCATTGATGGGATGGAGACTAAAGGATTCAAAGCAAGACAAAGACCTGATCAAGTCAATTATCTTACTAAAGAAAAAAAATCACTAATTTTTAGTCCTCAGCCCTGTTGGTTGACTTCACCATCTCCTGGACAGCCCACTAACCACCTTGGCCTACTAATTCCATGACCTCATCTTCACTGACTTCCTTCTCTGCTCCTGTGCTGTCTAGTACTCCACTCCCACTTCATACATTGAATTTACTCATTGCCTCAAAGCACTTCACCTAACAAATCAGTAATTCAACTTTCTGAGCACATCCTCCTCTCATTCAGGATTGTTTTTGCATCTACTCCATAGGACTGGTTTTCTTCTCTACGGAAATCATCTATCCACTGACCCCTTTATTCTCTCCCAGTCCATCAGTCCTTTTTATTCTTCACTTCCCTCCTGACCCAGCTTAAATTCTTGGTCCATCATTTCAGTAACATTCTTGCCAGTACCTACAGCTCCCTTTCCATTCTTTCCTTTTAGCACTCCTTGGTCAAGACCTCAGTCCCAGATGAAATCTACCACCTGCTTTTTCTATGGCTGAGCATAGAATCATTGTAGATTGGTTGTCACCATGCTTATGAGATCAACAAAGTAAAGGACTCAGCAGTCATGTTTCTTCAGTCAACATGGTTTAACATTCTTAGCAATGGCATTTTAAACCTTCTCCGTATTACTCAAACCTTCCACATGTTCCTTCTCAGCAGATCACCTCTCTTCCCACTTTACTGAGACAACTGAAGCCCTAAAAAGAATTTTTCCTCAATTTCACACTACCAAACAAACAAATTCTCTTCTTTCCTTTTCTCATTCTGAGAAAAGGAAAAGAGATGCCTCTTTTATAAGGCCTCCAGCCATACTTCAGTACTGTCTCTCTCCACCATCCCAGGAACTGCCACTGTTTCCTGGTCTTTATGGTCAGCAGCGCCCTCTCAGCCAGACCTTCTGATCAACACATATTAGAAGAAGATGTGAAAAACATAAACCAAAAGTCTTGAATCCACACCTCCCCCAACATCCACCCTCTTTCCTCCCTTTATAGCTCAGCTTTTTCTTTCTTTTTTTTTTTTTTTTAAGAGAGTCTCACTCTGTTGCCCGGGCTAGAGGGCTGTAGTGTCAGCCCAGCTCACAGCAACCTCAAACTCCTGGGCTCAAGCGATCCTCCTGCCTCAGCCTCCCGAGTAGCTGGGACTACAGGCATGCACCACCATGCCCAGCTAATTTTTTCTATATATTTTTAGTTGTCCGATTAATTTCTTTCTATTTTAGTAGAGACGGGGTCTCGCTCTTGCTCAGGCTGGTTTCGAACTCCTGAGCTCAAACAATCCGCCCACCTTGGCCTCCCAGAGTGCTAGGATTATAGGCGTGAGCCACTGCGCCTGGCCTATAGCTCAGCTTTTGAAAGAGTTATCTGTACTTCCTTTTGCTCAGCTCCCATTACTTCTCAGTATTCCAATTTGAATTCTCCTACCTTACCCTGTTCTTTTTCTTAGGCATCTATTATCTTTACCTGTTTTTATATATTTTATATCAATCTTAACAGTATCAGATCTGCACATCTTTGCCTTCAGATTTATAAAAATTAAAAAGCTTGATAATATCTACCATTGGTGAAGGTATGTAAAAATTGGCCCTATCATACACTGTTAGTGAGAATGTAAATTGATGCAGTTTTTTGTTGGGACTTAGCATTTGACCTAGTGGTAATTCTTCTAGGAACTTCTTCCACCTAAATACTCATGGGTGTTCTTAAAGATCTGTGTTTAAGAATGTTGGAGTATTGTTTATAGTATGGAAAAATTGGAAAAATCTTAAATGTCTGCCAGTATGAATAATGGTTACATAAACAATGGCATACTCATGCTATGTAATACTGTAGTTATCATTAGACAGAGTGAAGTTGACGTATATAGAGAGCACTCCAAGACCGCTGAGGTACGAGATCAAGGCACAGAACGGTAGGGATACTATGGTTCCATTTAGGTAAAAATTATGCACGCAGAGCTATAGTGTATATATATAAACTGCATTTTTCAAAAGGGTTAGGAGGGTGTCCACCAAAATTCTATTATAATTTTGGTTATTCTGAGAATATAAATGGAGTTGGGAAATGATGGGAATGCTAAAGCAAGACTTTGACCATTAAATGCTGCTTTTAGTTATTTCTTTGTTTTTTACAATTAACATGTACAGACATGCATCAGTTAACAGTAGGGATACATTCTGAGACATGCATCATTAGGCAATTTCATCTTTGTGCAAACCTCATAGCAGGTACTTACAGAAACCTGAATAGTACAGCCTACTATTATACTCCTAAACTATATGGTACAGTCTGTTTCTCCTAGGCTGCAAACCTGTACAGCATGTTACTGTACTGAACACTGTAGGCAATTGTAACACAATGGTAAGTATTTGAGTATCTGAACATATCTAAACATAGACAATGTACAGTAAAAACATGGTATTGTAATTTTTATGGGACCACCTTAGTATATGTGGTTAGTTATTAACCAAAACATTATGTGGTACATGACTGCATTCAGATATTATATAATTTTTTTTTTATTTCAGCATATTATGGGGTACAGATGTTTAGGTTATGTATGTTGCCCTTGCCCCCGATATTATATAATATTAAAACATTAAATATTACAGACACAAGTTTTCAAAAGGGCTTTTGATATTTTGTTAAAAGGCAGACTGTCTTGGGCATTGTGAAAATATTTTGTCAACTAAAGAATGCCATAGAGATGGCTTGTACCATACTTATTCTTGTGTTTCCTTTCTTGTGACTCCATTAACAATAAAGCCATATTTTTATACATAACAATAATATATTTCTATATTCTATAGGTAGAATTTTAAAATATTCTTATTATAAAATCTTTAACAGATTTTGAAGAGGAATTTTCTGACTTTATAAATTTGAATATTGTTAAAGAATTGGTCTGAAGCTTCTTTTGGATTATTAAATGCTGGCTTCTCACCATCACAGTGATTCACAACACTGTCATAATGAGTGGGAGACAGACGTGGGAACAGCTGTGATCTGTCGAGTGCCTGCTGGGCCTGCTAAAAGGCCCAGTGTTCTCACATACATTTATTAAAACCCCCTCTAGCTCAGAGTTGCTAAACAATTTGACTGAGGTTTCACAGCAAGTAAGCAGGGGAACAGAAATTTCAGCCCAAGTCTCTCTGACCTCATGGCCCGTGTTCTTTATTTTATGTTACATAAATAATATATTAATAGATTCTCATCGTAAGTACCTCAGAAAACACAGAGAGCAAAAAAGCTAAACCTACCTTTTTTACTGAGATCTCTTCCAGCCCACCTCCCTCCTAAGAGGTAATGACTTCATTAGTTTGGTATATCTTTCCAGATCTTTGTGTGTGTATGTGTGCATGCATGCACTTTCATACATATTTATGTACATAAAGTTATAAAAACAGAAACAAAAAATGAAATAATACAATATATAGTATCATACATGCCTTTTCTGTTTGCCTCTCTTTAAAAAATAGTTTTTTCTTTCTGAACTCCAAGTTTTACAAGACATTTGTGTATCAAACAAATCCATTGTTAAGAAATAATTTCCTCAGTTGTATTAAAGGCTGTTGATATGATTGCTGATCATGATGAAATAACTAGTATTAACCCACTGAGTTTTATAATTCTTACAAAAAGCAAAACAGCACACTATTTTGTTCACATTTGTAGCCTCATCTCTAGTAATTGCAATTTGTTTTAGATTTTCTAAATAAAGAAAATGGCTCTTGAACCCCTCTTTCCTTCTTTGAGATCCCTGAGAGGGTATGTGGTTGAGGATGTGATGGTATTGTGTCATGGGACTCTGAGGATCTTAGGAGGGGAGAAGGGAGTGCAGTGGTTGAGCTTTTCCACCAAGGACGGACACTCGAGGTTTGCCTGTCTCCTTCACATTCAGTTTGAGTCCACTCCCAGCAATCTGAGACAGAGTCATGTCAGTATTGAGGACGTATGTTCTTTTCACCAGGCTGGGTTTCCATCATGGCAGAAGCAATGAAATCTCACCACATTATGAAGGCTTCACATGCTGCCAGAATCTTGGCTAATCTAGACCGAGAAACTGTGCAAGAAAAATATCAGGATGGGGTGTATGTGCTACACCCCCAGCATCGAACAAGGTAAAGAAAACGTAAAGCCTAGAGGGCTTAAATGTTTAATTTATTTCTGCATACTTTAGATAAGTTAAATACCTTATAAGTTAAATATCTTGTTTATTGAAACAGTTTGTCTGTAATAACCTCAGAAGAATTGAAGATAGTTGTGAAAAGTATGTAAACTAGCTGAATTATGAGGTTATTTCACAAAGGGCTTACCATAAGCCTTTATAGTAAGGCTGCAGTCACCTATTATAAAGTGTTGCACTTAAACTTTGTAATACACACTTTCTTTGTGTCAAGGCATTTTCACTTAGATCTGAGTTAATAACTGATTTGGATTCTAGAAATCAGTCTGAATAGGAAGGAGATACAACATTGTCTGCAGGCAGCCAAATCAGCCTGGGCCTAGAACCCAAGGGACTGCAGAGCTGGTGTCTAAAAACACGCGTGGGAAAGGCCGAGTGGTCATACATTTGACTCATGCTCCTTCTTAAGGTTATTTGTGGTCACTATATCTGGTTTTATCATTGCTGAGACAATATAGAAAGGATCACAATGAAAACCTTACACATTTCTTGGATTTTCATAGGGTACTTTCTAAAAAATACCTCAGAAAATAGCAAAAAACTTTTAAATTTGAAAAATGGATTACCTGGTTAATTCATTTATAAATAAAATATTATGGTAATGTATTTTATATGTGTGTTGCATAATTGAGTGTGTACTATACATAGCTTGCAACTAAGATCCTATCTACAATTTTTAATGTCCTATCCAAAGAAAGAGTATGTTACTTTAAAATCTCATTTTCTCTCTTTCTGATAAATATATTTTCCTTAATACATTTTTGAAAATCTTTCATTTTTGAAAATCTCATAATACTGACTTGGAAACTATATTAGCATATTCTTATTTAATTTCTCAAATACTTTTATTGATTTGTAGGATATTCTCATGGAATTCTTCAGAGAGTAATCTAACTGTGACATCTGTCACTTGATTGATCACTAAGCTCATTATGATTGATTGTGGTTGGTCTGCCTGGCTAGGTATGTTTCCATTTTTAGAGAGAGAGCATTGAGCATGCTCTGTGTATGTCTTTGCCAAAACTCTTTTCTAGGGTTCCTCAGCAAACCTGTGCTTGTAAAGCTTGCTTTAATTAAGTTTTTTTTGTATCACATAAAACTGCTAAAGCTAAAGCAGTTTTACACAGAGAATGCTGTGTAGATTCTTACCAAATGCACTTATTCTGCTTCTTTTTAAAACTCTCTCCCATTAGTCAGCCCATTAAAGCAGATGTCCTTTTTATCCATGGCCTTATGGGAGCAGCATTCAAGACATGGCGCCAGCAGGACAGTGAGCAGGTTGTGATTGAAAAGGCTTTAGAGGATGAAGACAGGTATACAACGTGTTGGCCCAAGGTAAGGAAGCAGCTGACTCTGGCAGGCCACCTTTATCTCACGACACACCAACATGTCATTGGCTTTTGGGGCCCTCATTGTGACTTGCTTATTTTTCTCTTTTTACTGGGATTTTTTTTCCATGCAGTTCTTCTTTCGCTTAGGGACACTTATAGTATGTTATGATAGTAGCTCGGCTTGTCACCCTGTGTTAAGTAATTTCTGTTTAGGGTGCAGTCTGTGACTTTAAAAGAATAGAGTCATGGCCTATTTTTTAATCCATCAAGTAAAAAACAGGGGCAAGAGCCGGTAATAGTTCACTTCCATTGAAATATAATACAAAAAAAACAGTATAACCACAATTATATTTGTAATCCCATGGTCTTAATTATTATAAAAATAGACTTTGAAGAAGTAATTCTACTTTGAATTTCTTTGACATTATTTCTTCCAGAGAGCCTTAACTCTGGAATGAATTCATTGAATGGAATTTTCTTAAAGCTCATTTAAAAGCAATGTTGCATATATGTGTGAATAGTTTCCAGGATTTTGTTCTGCTAGTTCTTACTCATTCACACAAAGGCTTATGAAGTGGAAAGAGTGGTTTGCACGTTTTCTCTGGTGACACTGAAGTACAGAGATGACAGTAGACCCAGAATCCACAAAGACAGAACTGTGACTATTATTATTGGTGGCTCTGAATTAGTACCTCAGGTCCCAAGTCTGTCAGACTATACTGTCTATCCCGAGATAATGGCTTTCTACTAAATGCTTTCAAAAAGCCAATTTGATAAAAGATCCAAAAAATAGGCCTTGCTTTTAGCTTTAGCAGATTAAAATTGAGAAAAATCTCTTGAAACCTTCATTGGCCTTATGCTATAATTATTGATACCTCTTTGTGACTAGAGACGAAAAAGATAAAAGCTGGAATTGTTCTTATAATCACCTTCAAACTTTATTCCAGTACTATCTTTAACTAGTTGACAATATTGTAAGAGGCCTTTAGTTACAAATTTCAAGTTATAAATTTCACTAGGCAGTAATTGGGGTGGTGGAAATTCATATGTTCTCATGTACCTTTATTTTACTTAGACATGGTTAGCAAGAGACTGTCCTGCTCTCCGGATTATATCTGTGGAGTATGACACCACCCTCAGTGACTGGAGAGCAAGGTGCCCCATGGAAAGGTAACAGAGGGGATTTTAGACCGGGAGGAAGGGGAAGAGTTCAGGCCACAAGCGGATCCTCTGGGATTCTTATATTTTGATGCCACAGATAGGATTTCCTTATGAAAAACTAACCTAACCTTTTGTTCTCTTCCTTCTGGAAGGCGTTAGCTCTAAATAAACAATGAAATAGCAGAAGGCTTAGATATATTGTCAGCGTTGGAATGTTGGGCTCTTAACGTGGTTCATATACAAAAATTCTTTTTTTTTTTTTTTGGAGATAATGTCTTGCTGTGTCTCCCAGGCTGGAATGCAGTGGCCTCATCATAGTTCACTGTAACCTCAAACTCCTGGGCTCAAGCAATCCTCCTCAGCCTCCCAAGTAGCTGGGACTACAGGCACATGCCACGCCTGGCTAATTTTTCTGTTTTTAGTAGAGATGGGGTCTTGCTCCTGCTCAGGCTGGTCTCGAACTCCTGAGCTCAAGCAAGGATTACAGGCCACGGTGCCTGGCCATTTGCAACTATTCTAATAGTTAAGGACCATGGATTCTATAGCAAAGTCTCCTTTTGTACTGGAAGTAAAAGTGATGTTTTTTGCTTTTGTGTTCGCAATCATGTTGTCTAAAGTAAGCAAAGAAAAGGATGCTGAGCAACATGAGCTGCTGTATGTCCTCTGTGCCCACTGCATACACAGGAGGAGCACTGGATTTCTGAGTTACAGGACCGAGATTGTAGCAGGATCCTACATTTGACTCACTGTGCAGCCTTAGACAAGCCAATTAACTTGTCTGGGAAGTTTTGTCTGAAGATTGAGAGAGTTGGTCTAAATCAGTGTTATCAAACTGCTTTGTGAGTGGACCTACATATGTGCCTGAGAAGGGTGTTTTGGGTGAGTGAGCAGAACCCCGGGTCTCCTTCCCCATTCCACCCTGAGGAGCTCTGGAGAACGTTTATTTTAAAGATACTTATCTACAGATAAACAGTTTGAAACTATCAGACTAGATAGTTTTAAAGTTTCATTTTCGTTTAAAAATCACTTTATTTGAATTCTGATTCTAATAGCTTCCTAGCATTTCTAAATAATAAACCAAAATGATAAAAGTTTAATATTTGCAGCATAGATACATGTAGGACTAAAACCCACAAAAGAGACAGCATAGTCTTTAGTGATGCTTTCATTGTCAGGTCCTGGAAAGAGAAAGGATATCCACATCCTGAGTGGTGGGGGCAGGTGGGTGAGATGCAGGGTTGGCCTGTAAAAATTGCCAGAAACATATTAGATGCTCGAACAATGCTTGTTTAGTAAATGAATGGTCTGTTCTGGGCGTAGATATTCCCAATTATGCCAATGTTAATATGTTACAAATAGACATTGAACAATTTCAGAAATCGAGTGGAGAAAATAAGGGCATTCCTAACTCCAAAATGTAGTATGTAGCACTGTTCTCATAAACAAGAGTTCTTGACTAATTAGATCATAAATTGGGGGCATCAGCAGCCTCCCATTTTGCCTGCTGTTTTTGTTCTGTTCAGAAAATCCATTGCATTCAGAAGCAACGAACTTCTTAGGAAGCTCAGAGCTGCTGGTGTGGGGGATAGGCCAATGATTTGGATATCACATAGCATGGGAGGTAAGTGTGGCTTCATCTTTGCAAAGTGACTGTTGTGAGGCTACTGGCAGCCATTGTGGCCAACCTGAAGTTACTGCATCTCTCTGTTTTACTTAATAGCAGGCCGTTTCCCCCCAAAATTAATGTTTCTGGCTATGGCTACGAGTTTTAAAATTATTACTCTCCTTCTATGCCATTTGCTTTTCTGGAAGGGGACAACCTGTAACAAACCATATGAGAGAGAGAGGGGTTTGACAATGTAGTGCTTTCATGTAGTGGTAATGAAGAAACATCAGAAGCAGTCCCTGGCTCATATAAGCCTGACTTGTAAACATCCCTCAGTATTCCTGGGTGGCCCCAGGGGCTTCCCTTCCTTTCTCCTTGCTCCCTCTCACCACTGCAGTCCTTTGTTGCTGCAGTGCCCACAGCCCCTGCCCCGGCCCCCTGGTGCCTGCCTATGCCAGGCCAGGCCCGCTGAGTGGAGGTTTGATTGCGTGTCTGCTCTTGGGGTCCTAGTGCTTGCTTATCGAGCTGCATCCTCTGTCCCTCCAGCCCACTCTCCCCCTCCATTTCCAAATTTTCACCATCCACCTGGCAGATGGCCTTTTTGCAGCCCCTGGCCTAGTTAATCTGATGAAACGCTGAAGATTGCCAACTCTGAGCCGGAGTTTTTTGCTGCAAGAAAGATGGATATAGCTCTTTGTGGCCTCAGAGACCCACTGTCATCATCTGTGTGATCTCTGCGTTTCACTATTGGTTCTAAACCTGGGGTTAGGAGGATGGAAGAGAAGGTGCCTTCCTAGGTACAGTTCCCATAGAAGCTGTGTATTCCATGGGGGGACCGTGTATTTTTGAATATTAGTGCTGTCTTAAAGGGGTGGTCATTAGCGGACTGTTACGGCAGGCAGGGGAGACTGGCCGCTGCATATTCGTGCCATGCAGGAGCACCCAGCTCAGGCAGTGCCTCACATTCCTTCTGTGAGACCGGAGAGCCTGTGATGTAAGTATCTGCCCTACAAATGAGTTTCTACGATCTTACCTTTTTGTAGCCTTGTACTATAAATTCTAGAGGATCAGGAGTATTATCAAGTGTTAATATTTTAAGGCTCTGTTTCTTGTACTATGTACAGAGAATTATTGTATTATATGTACAGAAAGCATCTCTTTTTATGTACTTCTTATTTTGCATTTTTTTAAAAAAGTAATAGAGGGAAGGAAAATAGCTTATGCATTGGTTTTCTTTCTTCTCTGTGGCCAGGTCTTCTTGTCAAAAAGATGCTGTTGGAAGCCTCTAAGAAGCCAGAAATGAGTACTGTTATAAACAATACCAGAGGAATAATTTTTTATAGTGTCCCTCATCATGGATCACATTTGGCTGAATACTCTGTTAACATTCGCTATCTTCTCTTTCCTTCGTTGGAAGTCAAAGAACTCAGCAAGGGTAATACTTTTGTCACAAAGGAAATGGGGGTTGTATTAACATCAGTTATACAGGAGGAGAAAAAAAGTTTCTTCCTTGAATATATCATTTTATTGTTTGCATATAAAATTGTGTCTGAGACTGTTGATGGAAAACTTTTGGTTTGGGTTTGACTTTTCTTTGATACCTTCTTTTTTTGTTCTTAGCCATTATTTACTCAAGTATAGCAATAACTTTAATATTATCTTAAATACTTAGAAAAATTATATAACATTTTGCTTTAAGTATTATTCCAAATTAGCAAGAAACTGCTTTTTTCACCATGAGTTTGGAAAATCATCAACTATTTAAATGAAGGCTGGGTGTGGTGGCTCATGCCTGTAATCCTAGCACTTTGGGAGGCTGAGGCAGGAGGATCGCTTGAGCCCAGGAGTTTGAGGTTGCTGTGAGCAATGATGATGCCACTGCACTCTACCACCAGGGCGACCAAGTGAGATTTTGTCTCAAAAAAATAAAAATAAAAATAAAAAAAATATATGTATATATAAAAAGATGAGCTTTTGAGATTTTTAACGTATTTTAAAGCACTATATGTGTTTTGATTAATAAGCATTTTTTTCCTCTTGAACACCTGTTAATCAGAATTTGGACTCTCTGGCTTGAGCCTTAATATACCAGTTGTCATTTTGATTATATTTTCTCTTTGTTCTGCTTTATGGAAAATTTCTTGATTTTATCTTTTCAACCTTCCAGTGAATTTTACTTTCTTGAAGTCAGATTTTATTTTCCACAAGCTCTTTCTTGTTCTCTGGTTGTTCTTTACTCATATCCTCTTCTTGTTTTGTGGCTCTGTTATCTTTTCGAATCATTCTAAAGATACTAATTAGAGGAGTTTTAAGTTCTTTCCTGTTTCCTCATTTCGCTGTTTCTTCTGCGGCTAGCTTTTCTGTATCTCTGGTCTGTTTCTTTAGGCCATAGGCTTCTGCTAATACCTGGTGCTTTTTCTTGGTTGCCCTTTCACATTTGAGGAGGAGGGGATGGAGGGTGTGCCCTGTGACTAAGCACAGGCTTGTTGATGGGAGGCTGGGCTTTCACCATGGGGTGGAGTGGGGTGCCAGCCATCACACTGGGGACCTCTGTAGTCCTGCGCACCAAACTGCCCTGGATGCTGCTTCCTGTCAGCCAGGAGTGTGATCAAACCTCTCCTTCTGATACCTGGCTTCTCGGTTCTTTGTTGTGTTAGCCCTTTCCTTGAATCTAATGGCTTCTTGGCAGGGAGAATAAATAAACATGTATACTCAAGCCACCATATTGAATCAGAATTCTGATTTCCTGTCTAAATTTGAAAGATTAATGCACTTTATTATGAATAGGGTAAACAGAACTTGTCACAGTCTTATTCTGTAAAATCTTACAGATTCGCCTGCACTTAAAACACTACAGGATGACTTTCTGGAGTTTGCGAAAGACAAAAACTTCCAGGTGCTGAATTTTGTAGAAACACTACCAACCTATATTGGGAGCATGATTAAACTCCATGTGGTGACCGTGGAATCAGCAGGTATTTACTCTTTTGAAACTTGTTGGCCATTAGATGCTTAGTTGTGATTGTACCTAGCATTTGATTATAAATGTCAACTTTTATATCTAGTTTCTCAGTTTTAGGAGATAGTTTCATGAAGATCTAGATTAGAATTCTTTTCAGCCATAGATTAAAATTTCTCTGCAAACATAACCTTGGCATTATCCTTCCCTTTATTTAGCTGATTAGATGACAAAGGTTAATTGGCTAACTCTAAGTTAGGCATCAACAGTGAACTCTAAGCGCATTAAAGTCGGAATACAAAGCTTTCTATCACCTAGCTTGAAAGGGGCATTTATTTCACAGATAGTTACTCGTAGAAACCTTAATCAACTAAAGGCCTGGGAGCTTTAGTAAATAGATTTATGTGGAATATTCAAGCAGTGCTAAAGTACAATCTCTTCGTAATTCTAGAGTTGAGGGAAATGGCCAATCTCTGCTATTACAGTGTATTGTAGTGCATTATAGGCTCTTTCAGGGTAGAGCCCAAATCTTCACTTTCTTCATAGTAGATACCCTGTACATTTCACATTGCTCTACCCTCTCCACTTCCTCAACTTGCTTGTTTTCTCTGGGAACCTTATCACCTCTGAGGCTGGGTTCTGTGCCGTCCTGGGGGCACCCAGCTGTACTGTGAGTCTCTGCCCCCAGATGGTGTCTGTCTGGTGTGTCTGCCAGATGAGGCTTCAGTCCACATGATGTTTTGTCCTAATTTCATTATATACTACCAAAATGAAATGAAAAATACTACTTTGTAGTGGATCCTAAGAAAATGTTACCTCAAAGTAATATGCTGTAGGGTCAGGAGTTACTATTTAAAGAACTGGAAGAGTTCAAAGAACAGCTGCCAGATGTTTAAAAAAAGGACTTTGGAAGCTTGAAGCAAATGCAAAGTTAATCTCATAGACCAGCTGCTTATAGTGACACAACCTTGTCCTAATTCTATCAACAAGAGGCTCTTCTTCATGACCACCACCACATTCCTCGCCAGTGCCGCTTGTCACTTCCATCCAAGTGGACTTCATTAGACTGAAATATCAGAAACCCAAGTCTCTCAAGCAATCCAGGACTAAATCATCTTTCCCTGGTCGAGTGCATGGGGATTTGGGTGTAGAATGGATCCCATGCGAGACATTCCCATTCTTTTCATCAGGACAGGGGAGCTCGTTATGAAGTTTATAATATACACTCTATGGGGTTATTTAGCAGAAACCTGCAGGTGTAAGGAGGTTTTGAAGATGCTGGTGCTCAGGCTCTGCTCACTATTAAATTAGAAGTAGGCCAGAACATATATGAAAAATTTGTGAAAAGCATAACACTATGATTATACTTACTGAGAATCTATTCCTACAAGGTTCATCAAATATAGTTTTAAGCTACAGTCAAACTTTTGAATTTTTGTATCTTCTAAGAGTCCCGCATCATAACCAAAGCAATATTTAGAACTACTTATTTGGTCTCTTTCAATATTGACAAGGGGGAAGCATATATTTTTACTCCAGTTTATTGACATTTTTGTTTTCTTCAGATTTAGGCATCGGAGATCTAATTCCTGTGGATGTTAACCATTTGAATATTTGTAAGCCAAAGAAAAAGGATGCTTTTTTATATCAACGTACTTTACGATTCATCCGTGAAACTTTAGCCAAAGACCTTGAAAACTAACATTTGTCTTCCATTTTTCATATGCGAAGTCAGTGCAAGAAATGTGGTGTTCTCTTTCTCTTTTTAAGCTCTAAGCAATCATGCAAATACAGTCATTATGGCATCAACGTGGTCTGGAGTGTGTTGCAGACAACAGAATATTGTTTCCCATTGAAGCACTGTAAGCACCAACACAGAATCGGCAATCACAGAAGGAAGGGCTGGATTGAGTTCCTTTGACTTAAGGAAATCTCTTCTGTGCCACTTATGGTTTGCTCGTGGCTGGGAGCAAAGCTGCGGTGGCTGGAGTCCGCCTTTCCAGGTGCCACCATCTTGGCGCATCCTGGAGGAGCACTGGCAGATTCCAAAGGGTGAGCCATTGTTAACTGACCATAAAAATGCCATTACGAGAGGACCTAAAATGGAGAGAAGAATAAACTAGAACATAAAAGACTCCGTTTTAGTTCTCGGTATCCATGTGCTATAAATTTTTAAAACATGTCAGTTTTTTAAACTTTTAGTTTTTTAACTTTCTGTTAGACCGTTCTCATGTATGGGTCAGTTCCTTGCATCTTTCCGTTTTCATATTGTTGAGAACAAATCTTTTTAAAAAAATTTTAGCTTATAGTAATTCTTTCCAGAGTATAGCTACCTATGCTTATAATTTGTCCTAGATAAGGATAAAGTAGCTAATCGCTTATTGATCAAAGATAAAATAAAACTATTCTAAGCCATTATATGTATTAGCAATACTTTTAACATCAAGAGTCTCAGATTCTCTTTGGCTAAATAAAGTATACCTTTTTTGCTCATTTGGAAATGGTATTAATTGACCTCTAGCATGTGAAAAATAAGAAATAATGTTGATGGACTTTTTTTTTCTTTTGAGTATTAGGATTATTGAGATATAATTCACATATCATAAAATTCACCCTTTTAAAGTATACAATTCATTGGTTTTTAGTATATTCACAGAGTTGTGCAACCATCATTGCCATCTAATTTCAGAACATTTCATCATCCCAAAAAGAACCTTATACCTATTAGCAGTCACTTCCCACCTCCTCTTTCCCCAGCCCCTGGTAAACACTAGTTTACTTTCTATCTCTATGGATTTGCCTATTCTGAGAATTTCATATAAATGGAATCATACAGTATGTGGCCTTCTCAGCATGTTTTCAAGGTTCATACATGATATAGCATGTGTTAGTACTTCATTCCTTTTTATGGCCAAAAATATTTCATTGTTTGATATGCCACATTTCTTTATCCATTCATTAGTTGATGGACATCTAGGTTCTGTCTACTTTTTATCTGTTATGAATAATGCTGCCATGATCATTTGTGTACTAGTTTTTGTGTCCAGATTTTTTTTTTGTTTGGGAGACAGGGTTTTACTCTGTTGTCCAGAGTTGGAGTACAGTGGCATTCTCATAGCTCAAGGCAACCTCAAACTCCTGGCCTCAAGCAATTCTCCTGCCTTAGCTTCCCAAGTAAGCTGGGACTACAAGCATGCGCCACCACATCAGGTTACTTTTTTAATTTTGTAGAGACAGGACCTTGCTATGTTGCCCAGGCTGGTCTCCAACTCCTGGCTTTAAATGATCCTCCCACCTCAGCCTCCCAAAGTGCTGGGCTTATAGGTATAAGCCACCATGCATGGCCTGGGCAATTTTTAAAAAAGACTTTCTTCTAGCACAGGCTTTGGGGCATAGAGCAGGAATTATATTTCTGATCCTACTTACCCTCCTTAGCTGGGTATCTTTGTGCAGGGTCCCACTTTGAGGTCATTTGTAGAGCCAAAAGAAACCACCAAGAAATGGAGCTGTAGTTCCGGCAAACTTCCAAGGTGAGGAGGACAGAAGTCAGTCCAGGGCTTGCCAGGGGAGTCTGATAGCCTCACACATATGTTAAGCTGGGACTGCAAATGGCTGTACATACAAAATAAGAGTGACCCAGAAGGAAACATTCTGTGTTCATGACTCTTAGGGAATCTTAAGCCTACAACTTGAATTTAGAGGATCCCAGACTGGTAGTGTCCCCAGGCCATCTGCCAAAAAGCAAAGGAGGAAGATACATTCATCTCAGCCCTTAAATTATTCATACAAATAGTTTTTCAAATGCCATAATCAGTGAATAGTCAAAGATAAACAGGCATACAAGGATATAAAATACCATGAATGGGAACATTCAGCAAACAGCCCCCCGCAAAGAAAGAACAAAACAAAAAACACAATTGGGGTGGACATATCAGATGATAACTATGTTTGTTTTAAACGTTGAAATATCTTCAGAAACAGAAAACTATATTAGTGACTTAGATTTTAGAAAGTACCAAAAATAGATTCTAGAAAAGAAAAATAGTTGAAATTAGATTGTACACACCCGAAGAAAATCAGTGAATTGGAAGAGAGGTCAGAAAAAGTATTCAGAATGCAGCACAGAGAGGCTGAAGGTGGAAAATACAGAAGAGGCTAAGGACACATGCAAGTAAAAAGAGAATAAAGTCTGTTACAGCTGGGCCCGGTCGCTCACCATGTAACCCTAGCACTCTGGGAGGCAGAGGCAGGAGGAACGCTTGAGGTCAGGAGTTTGAGGTTGCAGTGAGCTGAGATGATGCCACTGCACTCTAGCTGGAGTGACAGAGCAAGACTGTGTCTCAAAAAGAAAGACTATCACATGTTTAATTAGAGTACCAGAAGGAGAGAAGAAAAAGAACATCTCAGAGGCAGTATTTCAAGAGATAATGGTTCGAGGTTTCCAGAACCAATGAAAGACACCAACTCACAGATCCAACAAGTTAACTAACCCAAAGCAAGCAAATAAAAATAAATCCACATCATGTAGAGCACAGGGAAAGCTGCAGAAAAGCCAAGACAGGAGGAAAACCTTTAAAGTAGTTAGAGGAAAACAGTTCAAAAGAACAATTAAAATTGCTGCTTCTGAGAAGTCATCAGTCCCATGGAAGCCGGAAGACATTGGAATGATATTGTCAATGTGCCAGCCTAGAATTATACATCCAGTAAAAATAGTAAACATTTGAAATATTAAGATAAATACACATTTTATATAAAGTAAAACAGAGTTTACTACCACCAGACCTTAATTAATGAAAATGTTAAAGGGTATACTTCAGGCAGAAGGCAAATGACCAGCCAGAGGGACTGAGATTCAAGAAAGAAAATGCAGTGAAAAAAGAGGTAACTATTTGGATAAATTAAATGAAATTGATTTTATTGAACAATAATGACGGGTTTTTTTTTTGTTTTTTTGTTGTTTTCGAGATGGAGTCTCACTCTGTCACCTGGGCTAGAGTGCTATGGCGTCAGCCTACCTCACAGCAACCTCAAACTCCTGGGCTCAAGCAATCCTCCTGCCTCAGCCTCCCAAGTAGCTGGGACTACAGGTGCTCACCACCATGCCTGGCTAATTTTTTGTTTCTATTTTTAGTTGGCTGGCTATTTTTTCTGTTTTTAGTAGAGACGGGTCTTGCTCTTGCTCAGGCTGGTCTTGAACTCCTGACCTCAAGTGTCTGCCTTTCTGCCTCAGCCTTCTAGAGTGCTAGGATTATAGGTGTGAGCCACCTAGCACGGCCAACAATAATGTTTTGAGTGGGTGTTAAAATATGTGAAATCAAAATATACAGCAACTATAGCAGGCAAGTGTTGAAGTGCTCCAAGGTTGTTGCATTATTCAGAAGGAAGGTAAAAACAATGATTAACACTAGACTTTGAGGATTTAATAACACATGTAATTTCTAAGATAACCAATAAAAGTACAGAAGTGGTGTATAATGACTTACAAACTAGGAGAGGATAAAAAGGGGAATGATAAAAACCCAAAAGGTGGCACAAATGGAGGGGAAAAGAAAGAACAGATGATACAAAGAGCACAAAATGGCATGGGAAGTTAAAACCCAGAGATAGCAATGGTCACATTAAATGTAAATGAACCTAATGTCGCAGTTAAAAGATACATATGTCAGGCTGGATGAGAGAGAAAACCAACTGTACGCTGTTTATAAGAGACACACCTGCAGCACGAGGGTTCAGAAAGGCTCAAGATTAAAAAGACGGAAGAAGACACATCATGCAAATACCAAGACAGCTGGTACAGCTGCATCAGACAAAACATACTTTTGGACAGCAAGAATTATTAGAAGAAGGGTCGATTCCTAGCGATAAAAGATTAAATCTGCTAGGAAAATGGTAAAGTTTAATTGTGTATGAATGTGAGTACATGGCCTCAAATTATATAATGCAAAAATAGAGAAAACTACAAAAAGACACCACAGGAGATTTTAACACACATCTCTTGCTATTGATAGAACAAGCAAACCAGAAAAAAAAAAATATAAGATTTGAACTACCTGATTTCTACATTTCCAGAATTGACCCACTGGAATATTCAGAGCACTGTACTATATCCAAGAAATGGAGAATACACATTCTTTTCAAATGTGATCATATGGGCAAATGAACTAAGTATCTGTATTAAGAAGTTAGAAAATGAATGGTGAAATAAAGCCAAAGAAAATAGAAGAAATTTAAAAAGAACATAAATATAGGAAAAAAAACAGAATCTCAACCAAACTAGAAGTTGATTATTTGAAAAGACTAATAAAATGGATAAACCTCAAGTGAGAGCAATCAGGCAGAAAAGAACGCACAAATTAGCAATATTAGGGATGAAAAGATACATTTAATATGTATATTTACACATTAAGAGAATATACATGAATACTTATAGGCCAATATTATTAAATTTTAAATGAAATAGAGAATTCCAAGGAAAATAGAGCTTACCCAACTTGCCTGTGAAGTAGAAAACATGACTAGTCAGTCCTCTATTAAAAAATAGAAGCAGAGATTTAAAAATCTCACAAGGCAGCCATAGTCCCAGTTGACTTTACTGGTGAGTGCTGCCAAAAGTTTGAGTAAATAGTTTCAATATTATCAAATTCTACCAGTTAATAGAAAAGAATGTACTCCCTAACTCATTTTATGTCAACAAAACTTTGATACCAAACTGTATAAAGACAATATAAAAAAGGGAAAATTACA